ATAATAAATTACTAAATTAACAAATAAATAATTATAAAAATTCATTACAACTTTTTAAAACAGATTTAATTTCGTCGGAAATCCGCCGGAAATTCTGACGGAATTACCATCGAATTTATTTCCGCCAGAAATTAGCTGTTTTCTTGTAGTGTCATAATTATTATATGAATTTGGACAACTGCTATATATGCTCTGGTTAAGTTGTTCAGAAAAATATTTTATTATACTGCACTTTGAAAATGATTGAAAATGTTTAATAAAAGAACTATTTGAAAATTTAGATAAGTTTTTATAGAAATGCTGAGTTATTTAGGTTCACTATGATTTTGCTTCTATTTTTTGTATCTAGAAAAGGGAAATAACTTGTTGATTAGTAGTTTCAAGATTCAGATATGAGTTGGTAGATATTTTTCTGTTTTGATTTTTGTACAGTCATGACTAATTTTTAAATGCTTTGTTTTGTTCTTTGTTATGTAGCAATATACTATAGTGTAGATCTTATAAATATCATTTTGATGAAATGAAAAGAGAATATGTTGATGAGTTTATTTTCAGTATGCTTGATGTTTTAGTAGCTATGTAGTCTGTTGTTTATCTAAAATGAATATTGGAAGAGAATTTGAAACATTCTAAAACTATATCTTTAGATTTATCTATCATAGCTCAACATGAAAGAAAGCCTGTTAGGTTGAGTTGTAACAATAAATCTCAATCAATAAATTACGTGAATCAACAGAGGATAACATCAAACCATAGTATTTAAATAAAAGCTCGTCGTCCCATCATGTTGTATAGCCCAATCAGTCTCCAACCAACATAAGTAAATAACCAATATTCACTTTTTTTCACATATATTATTATCATAGTATTATAACAGTAATTGCAACCAGGTATTACCCAATAATCGCTTGCCTATTTTCTTTCACAATGCTTGTATTAACAAAGAGGTATGATTTTACAAGCTCAAAAAAACTTTGATCCATATGCAAATCTTATAAAATCATCAATGAAAAAAAGCAAGGATTTTCTTTTCAAGTTTGGAAGGAAGAAGAAAGAGCCTAAACCCTTTGAAAAATCCTATGAGGAGTCACCATCAATAAAGTCTAATTCTTTCAAAACTAAAGGAACCCAATCCCTTAGAAAATTTTATGAAAATCATTTCTCATAAGATTAGTGTAGCCATCTCCTTCCAAACATACAAGTATAGCCATTTTCTCTAAGACTTATATTTGCATCATTATCATGGTCGCATCCAAAACTATGCCACATACCTCACTTGTATTATAGTAATCTCTATCAAGATCTATATTCTACTCTCGCTAGTATCATAATCATGTTGTATTTCAAACTATCATCTTACATTGCTTGAGCTCCATTCTTCCCCTTCAGGACCTATAGCTAATTCTGTCTATACCGTTGATATTGTTACATCTAAACTAAACAAGTCTAACATCTCTTTCAAGGCCTACATTGGAATCTTGCTTAAGTTATAGTCATTATTGATTTTAGTTTGCACTACTACAAGCTTGCCTGAATCAAAACTTTCTCTAACAAGTCTTACATCATAGCTATCTCCAGCCAGACTTATACTAAACTTGTCTTTATGCATCGTATATTCTAATTTTCTATCAGACACCCTGTACAAGGCCACTCCAATTATTTGGTTATGGACCACATTTATACTATTTAAAAAATAAAAATAAAAAGTGGACGATGTTGAACAAAAATAGACCCTATGATTTTTCACCTCTAAGAATTTTAACTAAAAACTTCCTATGCCCCACACTCTTCTTAATTTTACTATTTATGTGCATGATATCCGAAAAGACCGAGATAATTGAGATTAATATTCACTCCATCAACTTGATTTCCTGCTAGCAACCATTCGACACCATTTATAAGGATTCCAATCTTCGTTGACCCATAATTACAATATTTATTGATCAGCAATGTGCAAGGACTAACACCCAATTAGCTAGGGGTGTAACTGAGCCGAGCAGGCTCAAGCTCGATTAGTTCATGGGCTCATGAGCCAAGCTTATCGAGCTCTCGAGTTTGAGCGAGCTCGAGTTTAAGCATGAGCCGGCTCGGCCTCTTTCATCTTATTCTTTGTTGGAGGATGAAACATCACCTCAACAAAATCATTAAAAAAATGGTGATAATTCTATGGAGAGAAAGTTAAGTCTAGGAGGCAATAATAGATTCAGGAAGGTAAGAATATTTACACTAGTATTTTGGGCATGATAGTTTATATTTTTACCCTTTGACTATCACAGCAAATGAAAAAACTTGGGCATTACCACAAATGCACAAGGCATATGTTATACATTAATAGAGAGTGAAATATATCATTCCTGATTGATGATGTAATTTCACAATTAAATTCACTAAAGTTCAAAAACAAATCATGAATATTCATTCCTACATAAATCATTAAAAATCGTGCATCGTGAATATTCGAGCACACAACAAGCACAATGGACTCCAATATCTCATCATTTTCAGAGATACCTTCAGCTAACTTAACAAGGGAAAAAGAACATATTTTGGCACAGAAGACCAGAGTTTGCAAACACGAAAGCTTTCCTTTATTCATTGAGAGAAGAAACAAGAAATGAAACAGTGAACCACATCACAAGCTTCACACGATCGCATGGTTCATAGATAAAGTTATTATATACATGCATGCTAAACCGGACATGTTTTTCAAAGCTGGGATGCTTAATGACAAGCTTGGCATACATGAACACACACAGCTGGGATGGAAATAAACTGGCTTTCAATATGCTCAAACAAGACATCAAAATCACATAACAATCTCAGGTTTCAGGATGCTAGATTTGATCTCCTTGTGTGGGAGGACAACCCCTCCATTGCTGTATACCTCATCACCAACATGCACATCCTCACCAAGGATAGTCATGTTCTCAACCCTTGCCCACTGCCCCACTGTAGAATGCCATCCAATGATGCTGCTTGAGACACAGGCATGATTCTTCACACGAGCTCCGCGCATCACAGTACATCTTGAGAGCCTTACACCAGATTCGACCACACAACCTGGTCCGATCGCGACATCGGGACCAATCAGGCAACCTTCTCCAATCACAGCAGTCTCATGCACCAGGACATTCCCGATAAAGTGCGAACCTACGGCAAGTTTGGCCGACGATTTCTTCCTAATGGAATCAAGGTAGAGCCTTAGGCCTGTGATGTAGTCTTTAGGCTGCCCAATGTCCATCCAGAACCCTGGCAAGACCATGGCAAAGAGGTTTTGATCAGAAGCAATTTTAGGGAAAACCTCCTTCTCTATTGAGGTGGGTCGCAATTCGATAAGGTCGAGGACTGAGGGGTTCAGCAGGTAGATCCCAGCATTGATTTTGTTTCCAACAAATATTTTTGGCTTTTCAACAAATCTCTCTACTTTTCCAGTTTCCTCCTCCATAACAACTACACCATACTTTGAAGGTTCATCGACCTATTCAACGAAATCAAAGTTCATTTTGTAGGTTTATCGATCATAAAAAGAATAAGAAGCATAAAGATAGATATTTACCTTGGTTACCATAATTGTGGCCTCTCCTCCATGGGATTTATGGAATTTAACTAATTCAGCAAATGGGTATTCACTTATAACATCACTGTTGAGGACAAAGAAAGGCTCACCAGAGCCATCCACTAGCTTATCTCTTGCAAGAGCAAGAGGGCCAGCTGTTCCTAGAGGTTCAGTCTCCTGAGAGCAGGTAATTGTTATACCAATCTTAGTTTCAAATTCCTTGAGAAAGTTGAGCATGACCTAATCACAGAAAAAAAAAAAGAGTATCAGATATAAGAAATAACAGCCAATAATTTAAAGAAGATAAGCTCAAGAATACAAACAAACATTGCTTTTTCAATTTTACCTCTGGCTGGTAATTTATCGCTAAAACAACTTCAGTTACCCCTACCTCCTTCAGAGCTTCAATCTTGACATGGCCGAGAACAAAACACAATTAAAGCAATCAGAAAATTAAGGAATGATAAAACAAGGAGATTCTTATAATAAGCTATATAATTAGATCAAAAATTATATAAACTACAGTTCAATTGAAGCAACAAAAAATTTCAAAATGCAGACGAAAATTGTCATAATTCTAGATTGTGATCTTCACAGAATAGGAAATATTAAAAGAATGACAGTGTAAATTGAATGGAGAATTCAAGTGTAAATTCAAATTAAGCTTTGCAGAAGATATATGAAATGAATTATAACAATACCTGATGAAGGATCATGGGTTTGTTGGCAAAATCCACTAGTGGTTTTGGAACACTGAGGGTCAATGGCCGCAAGCGAGTGCCAAATCCACCGACAAGAATTAGTGCCTTCATAGTGAAAGATCCTTCCTTTTATCTTCCCCTGAATATACAGAACAATATCAATTGAAGGAATCTAAGAAAGTTCTGAGCTTCAACAGCCGGGTCTCCAGCTCTGGAGCTCCGCCAAGAAGAATTGCTAAAAGGGATAAGGATCAGGCCGCAAAAAAAGCTAGAATTGCTTTGGCTAGAGCCACAATAAAGATTTCAAGCTAAAACAAGAGATAGATCATCTATGAACACAAAATCTCGTAGCAAAGAAAGACTAGAGACCAAGATGGACCATTTTTTACCATTCCTTTCTAAATTAGAACTGATATTGGATTGTTTGAAGGGCTAATTTTATGGAATAACAGAGATATTTTTAAGATGCCTAGCTTTACTCTTTAACATTCATTCACAAAACTAAAGAGCGAATCACACGTCGGATCTGAATATTTCCAACAACAAACCAAGAAAACCACCGAAATTTCAAACAATCTCGGAACAGCAAAGGCCAAATGCGTTGGCCTTCTAAAAAATTGCGCAAATGACTGCAAAATAAAGAAAATGAATTGAAGCACGTAGCCCCAATCAAAACGCCAAAGCATCCAGATCCCGCAACATTGCATGAGATCCATGGACGATAAAAGAAGATATAAAACCCCTAAGAAAGGAATTGATGCAGATCTAGGGAGAAACACTAAAATGAAAATTGAATTACAGAAATTTGGAAAAGAAGAAAAAAAAACTGGTCGATTTGAACGGCCAATACCGTATTAGAGGTCAGATTCGAGATGGAGGGCGGGAAATCCGAAGATATTCGATCTATTCTCTCCCGTTACTACCTTCGTGCGCTGAGCAAGAAGGATACGCGGAGAGAAAATGCGAGAACCCGATTATTAACGGCTCCTTGCTCGTTTACCTTGCGCAAGTCCGTGTTGAACGATCTGTTCGGCTATATACACCCGCCAGTTTGGAAGCTTCCTAAACAATTTATTTTAGAGAATTTACACGTAGAAAATTTATATATTTAATATTTAATATTTTTATATTTATTTATATAATATTTAAAATTTTAAATCATAGTGAAAGTATCACTAATATAATTTTTTTAAATGAAAAAATATTTATAAGTATATTTAAGTGCAATTGAGATAAAAAATATATAAATAATTATAAAAATTCAGATATTAAATATATAAATACATATATTTATGTTGTGCATATATAAATTCATCTTTATTTTAATAAATACAGGTTATGAATCCTTTCATAATATATATTTATTTAGAAAAACAGGTGACAAGTTTTAATCAAAATTTGATCAATATTAATAAAATTTTGATCAATATGGATTTTGACAATTATAAAAAAAATATTAAGATGTATTGCATTCATCTTAAAATTAATATAAAATTTTAAACTATTTCTAATTAAAATTTATTTTAAATTTTGGCCATTTTTATGTCTTATATTTAAATCTTGTACATATAAAAAATTATTACCTAACCACTTTCGTGCATAACAATTTCACCCAAATTTTTAAGGTCATATTAAAATTTAAATCATGTTTCTTTTTCAATTTAATTAATTTTCAATAAATTAATGAATTTATTGTTTTATAATTAAGACATTAGAAATATTAATAAAAATTTTGATGTTACAACTTTTATTATTTTTTTTTCTTACGAATTTTAATATTTTATATAAAATTTGTTATTATATGTAAAAAACGCCCTGGCATTTTTAGGCTTATGTGTTCAGGGTGTATATTGTAATTATAGTTTTCAATGACATTACAATGCAGAACATATGCATAAAATAGCAGGGCTTTCCTGTAAAAACCGAAAGCCCAGAGCTTACGTGTTCTACTGCGATGCTGTTTGCCGTTAAAAATCAGGATAGCAAATCCCTACCAGATTTATCCCGTTCATCCCTTTTCCGTACATATTTTAAAGTAAAACCGATTCAAACAATTAATAAATTTATATTGTACTTATCTTATAATAAATTTAAAATTTTTAAAATCCAACTTTATTAAAATAATCCAACAAAATTTAGTGCCCATTTTAAAATAAAAGAAAAAAACAGAGTTGAATAAACACTTCTAATTGAGTTTTTTTTTTTTTGCCATTAAGAAGTTGGTCTTATGAGGATAAAAATGATTTCACAATTACAACTAAAATAATTTATTTTGTATTGAAATAAATAATATCTTAAAAGTAAAAAATATAAAGTAACTAAATAAGCACTTCTAATCTAAAATAGGTCTTCCAATCATAAGATCAACTTCTTAATGAAAAAAAAATTTTAGCATATTAATTAGATAAAAAATATGAAGCTAAATATATAATTACAAAATTCTAAAAGGGCGCTAAAGAAAGCGCTCTATCATGATCCATTATAAGAATCCACTCATGAAGAATAATATAACCCACCGAGGTTTATGGTGGGTGGGCGAGCACGGTTTAGAACCCCCATCCCATATTCAAATCCTCTCTACTAAGCACTTCTAATCTCGAGAATGATTTTTCTTAAGATTTGCAGGGCCAAAATATTTTAATTTAATAAATAGGATAAGGTCCTATTCACAATGAGGTGGAAACAGGCCTACCATGTGAAGCTCACTGGTCATTGACAAATCTTATGCCTTATGGTGTAAAAACTTAAAAGAAAACAATGCTCGTCGTTTAAAGTTTCAGGCCCTGCTGTTGGGCTAATCGCCTGTAAAATTTGTGTTGTGAGGAGAGCAAATAGTCACAATCTAATAAATGTTTTCCAATTAAAACTCGTTATTTTTTCTTTTCTTTTTCTAAATCTTAGGATATATTTGGGACAGCTACGATTATTTATAAAAGCCGCCGTAAAGTTAGGCTTCGTTTAATGTTCTAGCAATTTTTTAGTACGAAAAATTCTAATTTAAAAAATTTTTATTCTAAAATATTGCTTTAAAAAACAATTAGAAAGTTGCCCGAAACGAAGTCTTATTGAGAAGAAAATAACTTTTTGAAAGCTACGGTAGAAAATAGTCTCCTAGTAAAAAAATTATTTAAAACAATGGTTAAACAAATATTTTGGTTGCAATTTAAAAAACAAGCTGCAAGAAAGCTTTCCCAAATAAAGTCTTAGGTTTTATTTGGTATAACTTTTTTATTGCTTTCTAAAACAGCTTTCTAACACAATTTTTTTTTTTTCAAAACTTTTTGTGCTAAAAAAATGTTTTATAATGCAATATGAAAGTTGTCTCAAACAAACTCTTAGGCTTCATTTGGGACGGCTTTCTTATTGCTTCTTAAAGCGACGTTTTAGTGCAAGAATTAAAATTTTTTGTACTAAAGAACCGTTTTAAGAAGCGCAAAAAAAACCGTCTAAAACGAAGTCTTAATTTTACATAATGGGTGTGGCCACAAATGACTCACATGGTGTTATCATGCATAGACAACATTGCATTATTGGCTTGTAGGCTTGGGGGGCCTTCTCCTTATTCTTCATACAAAATAAATTCCTCGAAAATCAGAAACTATAATATAGTTCTCATTGGCTTTCAAGCACTTAATACTCTTGAGAACTATGTCGTTTTCACAATTTTTTTTTGTGATTCTTGAATGTTCACTAATGTTTAATAAAGAGAAAATGATAAATTTTGTCTCTTAACTTTTAATAAATGAACAAAATAGTTTCTAACATATAAAAGTATTAATTCAATCTATTGATTCTTTAAATATAAATCAAATTAGTCTTTCAGTGTGATCATTTGATACATACTTAAAACTCAAGAAAATTAAAATGAAACTTTTAAATGATTGATAATCATTTTGATTCTTCATAAAAGGAACTTTTATTTGGTCGGGTGAACGTACGTAGAGCTACGTCCGGTCGGCACTAAGATTGCATGCAACAAAATGAGAAATACCGAGCAAATACCGAGCAATACCAATAATAACGAGAAAATATCATTAGGTGAAGACGAAATACCGAGTTAAACCGAGTTATACCAAAAAATACCGAGAAAAAATCGGTATTTTTTGGTATAACTCGGTATTGCTCGGTATAACTCGGTATTGGTCTTCCCAAAGCGGTATTCCTCCATATTATCAAACAATACCTATCAATACCGATCAAATACCGAGCAAAAATTGAGTAACAAGCCTCTGACCGGACGTAGATCTACTCCCGATCAGAGGACGTAATAATTGTTCCATAACAAGGCAGTAGACCATTTTAGTTTTATCTCATTTAATTAATACTAATTAATTAAATATAATATTATAACTTCTAATTATTTTTCTATGTCATTATATTATTATTATTATTATTATTATTATTATTAAATTGTTCCAAAATATAAAACCAATGCTTAAAATCAATTCCTCTTTTATTTTTTTTATTTTTTTTGCAAAATTGATTGACAAATAAGGAGAAGGCCTTATAGGGAATAAACTTTATCATTTTTATTTTACTTTTTATGATTCTTTAAGCTATTTTGCCAGAGAAATACTCTGACATTCAGACAGCTCATTACCAAATAATTGAGTTTTGGCTTCTATCATTAATATTATAAGTTCCAAATTTGATAATTAAATTAGCTCATAATTATAAAAAATATATACTCTATTAGCTGAAGTATGTAAATTATCATGGCCCCAATGTCTCAATCTGCCTTCAATTCCTCAGCATACAGACGCATTGTGTGGTCCATTAGACAAAAGTTAGTTGAACTATGTCTTTATATAGCTATGAATTATCAGGCTTCCGTAGATCTACCCACTAGTTATTTCTTCTTTTTTTTTTTTTCTAATGTGTATCAAAAAATAAATTTAAACATCATAAAATTTTAATAATAAATTTATTAACTAAATTACTTGATACCCAAAAAATAATATATTTATATCATTTTTACATAGAAATAAAAAAAAATCTCCAAAATTTTCGCATTATTTCATTTGCTATGTCAAATCAATCATGTGATTATGAATTAGTATAATTGAACCCAATTATGCTTTGCTCCTCCCCTCTCCTTGCTTTAAAGATGCCTTTACAAAGCTTGATGAAGGTCTGAATCACATTATTGAATACAAGTAATACAAATGTTGCAGAACTTGCTAAAATTTTTTGTCAGATCATAAGAAATTAAAAGCATGAATGCAAAGTTCTTGCAGAAAATCTTTTAAACACATTTTGCTCAGCGGCGGAGTCAGAAATTTTTAACTGGGGCCAATTTTAACATTGTTTTAGCTGATTTTTATATTAAGATTCAATTAATCAATTTATTGCTTATATGATTATGAAAAATCAATGTATTCTATAAAGATATGCTTGTAAATTTCTTTTTTTTTTGGAACCGCTAGCAAGAAGCTTCCGGCGTAGGCTTTTCTAACTTTCGAGGGGGGGGGGGGAGCGTGCCCCCCTAGGCCCCCCTCTCTCCGCCCCTGATTTTGCTAATTTAATATTGTCTCAATTTGAATACAACTGGCTTGCAATTAGCACTGTACAAAAGAATTTGGTTACTATTATTTTTTCAGAGTAAAAACGCCTCTTAGAAATATAATATTTAGATATTAAACTTACAGAGAAAGTGAAAGGTGCCAGCTGGTTTGGAGAGAAGCCTGTAGAAAAAAAAAAAAAAAAAAAAAAAAAAAAACGAAGAAAATGTTCGAGAATAATGTATTCTCAGAAAGATTAGTGTTAAGTACACGAGAAATTATTCTGTGCGGAGATTGAAAGTAGAACGTTGTCCGGAGACCAACCAGAATGCGCCACATCAGCGGTACCGAGCATAAGGGTGACGTGGCACATCCTTGTTGGTCTCCAAACTGCGTTCGGCATCCGCACAAAATAACTTTTCCAAGTACAGGGGTGGAACCAGAAAAAGTTTAGTGTGGGTAATTGCTCACCCTGAAATTTTATTTTTTTAAGAAGCATTTTAATTATTCTCAGAAATATATTCAGGCTGGCAAACACAGTGATATAACCTGATAATTTGGACAAAAATATTGGTAGAAATAAAGATGAAAATGAATGTGAAGGAGACTCTAATTCACCTGTATCAGAAGGGCCAAAAGCAATTATTTTGATAGAAACCAATAGGACCATACTAGGATAAACTAAATTAGGACCACATATAAATAGTATAGGAAAATAAAAATAACTTTATAGAAAATTACATAATTCATCAGATTCATAAAAAAAATGAGCTAAATTTGTAGAACGAGGCATTTAATGATGCAACATAATTAATATATATATATATATATATATTACTAAATAAGAGAACAAGTATATACAAATTCCTCTTCCACAAAAATTAACAAAGGGAAGAATTGAGAAGATGACATCAAAATTTAGAGGAATCTTTCTTAATATAAAGCTTGAGAAAATTATGAGGAAATTTGGAGTTCCTCTCTCACAATAAGAATAATAAATCTTGCATTTCTTAGAATAAGCTGTGGTATATATCATCTTGATAAGGCTTCGTTTGGCTTTTCTTTCAGTTTGGTTTGGTTTGGCTAGTGGAGGACTATGATGAGGCCCCTAGGATGGCCTGGGCTTGGATGCAACCTTACTGACTATTGGATGGCTCAAGCCTGGCAACCAGGTGGCCGGCGGCCTGAGTCCGCTCTTGCTCTTTTCTTTCTTGTTTTGGGTTTTTGTAGTTTGAGTGTTGTTTAGACTATGTTTTTTGTCCGTTGATTTTATGGACTCTTTGCTTTGGGCCTTTGTTGTACTCTTTTTATTCTAATGGAATTTCAGTTCAAAAAAAAAAAATCTTGATAAGGCTTCGTTTTAGACAATTTTTTTACTATTTTTTCAAGTGATTTTTTTAATATAAAATTTTGTTTAACTAAAAATTTTTATACTAAAAAACTATTTTGAGAAATAGTAAAAAAACTGTCTCAAACGAAGTCTGGAACGGCATTATTTCTGCTTCTTAAATCAATTTTTCAATTTTTATAGTACAAAATCGTTTTAAAAAATAATAAAAAATTCATCCCAAACAAAATTTAAATTTCATGAATGGGAGGTGATGAAAAAGCTAAAATGCTCATCGCCTCTTCCTGCCAATTATGATTACTCTATTCACTTTTAGAAGTGAATGGAAGCGAACCTCAGCCCGACTCGGAACCCTACGGACTTTTTTATTTGCTTATATCAGTCTCTCATCAAAGATTTATGTGAGATGGCCTAACTCATAAAATTATTGTGAAAAAAAAAATTTGTTTTAAATTATTATTGAGTATATAAATAATTTTTCTTTTTTAAAAAATAAATATCAATTTTCTTATAATTGTCATAGTATAACACAGTTTGTTATAAAAAAAAAAACTTTTCAACATACAGAATTTTAAATAAATAAGAAAAAAAAAACAATCAATTGAAAATATAATCGATTTGAAAAACAAAATAGCGAAAAACATACCATGTGCCATCAACAAAACACAACATAAGTCAAATCAAAACCTAAATCCGTCAGCAAATGAGGTAAAAAGAAGTTTAGGCTTCGTTTGGGATAGCTTTTTTGCTGCTTCTTAAAACGACTTTTTAGTAAAAAAAAATTTTTTTATACTAAAAAACTGCTTTAAGAAATAATAAGAAAGTCGTCCCAAACGAAACCTTAAACAGGTTAAAAGCAAAAATAATGAAAATTCCCTCCTTATTTAATATAATTTATACAATTTATCTTCATATCAAATTTTCCATAACATCAAATATTAAAGTGGATAACAAAAGCTGGCTCAAATCACCAAGCCACCTCAGCGAAGTCCTAGTACATTAGCAACAATGCATGGCTTGATTATCATTCTCCCCAAAAGTCCTCAGCGCACTCTGCCACTGACAAAGGGCAAATTATTCTGTGCAGATGCCGAACGTCGTCTAGAGACTATCCAAAATGCGCCACATCACCTCCGCTCGATACCGCTAACATGACGCATTTGACGTACCGCTCCATCCCCCTCCCGCTCCTCTTGTTGTTTGCCCTTCGTTCTTATCGTGGCATCACCTGAATCGTACAAAATAAGAATGGACATAAAGCTCTAAACTAATTAGCTTCTTTAATAACTTAAAAGCAATGTCAAATACTCCAGCTATATAATAGAAAAAATTTAAGCTAAAAACAAACCTTGAAACTAATAACACACCTAAAGAGAGTGAAGACATACCTATTCAAAACCTCCTCTTAAAATTACATGCATAATTAGAATTTAAAAACTTCAAAATATAACAATCAAACTTTCCCAAGCCATATATCAAACCATAATCTGCAGTCTTTGAGATATATCAAAGTCCATTTCATTACTTCCCAATGTGCTTTGTCAGGCTTATTCATGATGTCTCTATCCACAACACTAACAATATTTTATCTGCACACCATAATATACATAGTTTCCACCTACACTAACAAATGTCACTCTTATCATGTACCTTTCCTTTCCTAATGACTTAGGAGAAGTTATTACAACAACAACATCAAACATTTATCCTACTGTGGGATTGACTACATAAATATTTTTTCTCCATTGTGTCTTGTTAAGAGTCAAATTCTCATTTAAATCTAATAAAGAAAAATCATTTCTAATATTTTCTAACTAAATCTTTTTAGATCTACCTCTACCTTTCTCAGGAGAAGTTATTACAACAACAACATAATATCTATTACTTCCATAATTTGTTTGTCAAGTAAACTTCTTTAAGTCCATATAGGCTTTTACGTAAGTACATATTATATTGGTTTCCTTCAATTTATAATCCAAACAATTATTGCATGTGAATATTCTCATCCAAATTACCATGGAGAAAATTTGTTTTCACATTGAAGTATTGAACTATTTCAATTCCATGTCCCATGTACTACAAAAAATGAAATAGTATGAATCATCTAAGCTTGATAATAAGTGAGAAAAACCTCTTTGAAGCCCACGCATCTCTTCATGTTATAGCCCTTTACAATCAATCCTGCACTGTATCTAATATTATATTCACCTAGGTTCTTTCTCAGCACTTGAAGTCTATTTGCATATAATTATTCATTTTTCTGTAGGGAGCTGTACCCAATTTTCAATCTTAAGCAACCTAACTTATTGTAAATTAAAAATATAGCTAGTACTTCAATTCTTATGTAATATCTTTCTCAAGAAAAGCCTTTAATCACTAATAGACTCAGCTACACAAAGTACAAGAAACTATATGAGACTAAGAGAAATCTTTGTATAAATGTCTTTGAGGTGTTAATAATCTATTGGGCTTATAAGAAGCAATATATATATATATATATATATATATATATATATATAGGTTAGTGTCATCTCTTCCTAAGGTTCAGATGTAGTAGGATGATAAGGTGAGCTATTGTCTAACTATTGAAACTCAAGCTATTCAAAAATGTCATTAAACTTTTTGATATCTTCCCTAATACTCAGTCTTCATTGACTTCTATTGAAGCATAGTTGACTCATTGAACTTAGCACACCAACAATTAAGAAACCAGGTGACTTGGCAGTAGCACACTAATTCATATGCTCCTTCACCTTACATATAAATCAAAAGAATATATACTTCTTAGCTCTAGGGTCTAGCCTACTCTCTTTGGCATGAGCAGAACAATAGACCAAAGACTCTTAGAAATGAATATCTATTAAAAAATTAATCCACACCTCCTTACGAGTTCTCAACTCAATATCAATACTAACATATCTATTCACCTCGTAGCAAATAATATTAATAACCTTCAACCAAAAAATATCTTTCAAATCAATATTGGATAAAGCATATTAAACCATCTCCCAGAGAGCCCAAACTCCAAATCATTTATTCTACAACTCAATTTTACTAAGATGTATAGTCTACAATCTTATGTCTAATAACGCCTTTCTTCTAACAAAAGTACTCGAACTTAAAATAATAAAATTCTGAACAATTTTCGATCCTTCACATTTTAATATTCTTTCTTTTCATACTTCTCAATATGTCTTCAACTTCATAAATATAGTAAATATACCATTCTTCCATTAGAGCATATAAACACATATTTTTCTTAAAAGAATCGAATAAAAGGTAAGTATGCATCTAGATCCATCCTTAAATTCCATAGTAGGATGCTATAAGTTAGAATAAATAAATTCCACGGTACACTTGTGACACCGGAGTGTCTTATAAATAACCTGATACAGTTTGTCTTTTGTCTTGCCTTTCTTCTCTACTCTGTAGCTGTTAATGTTGCTAGTTGTATAGCCACATTTGAATTGTATTCTTGTTTTCTTTCCCGGGTGTTATTATAAAAGCACACCGGAACATAGCTAATGCAGATTTGGATGATTTGTCAATTGAATTCTCTGACTTGCTGTCGAGAACCCCTTTTTCTGTATCCTGTTTTCTTACAGGTGGTGGAGGAGATTCTGTATCCGGTTAGATCATACCGGTGGTGATTAGTCTCCGACGAGTGGAATTGGATCGCTCATCAACGTGATCTCTTGAAAATTAAGCTCGGGTGCATTCAGGTAATCCTCTGTTCTTGAAAATTAAGCCTTATGAACTCTAGTTTGAAACTTTAATTTATGATATTTTTTTTCAAAAATGATGCTCAGAATGATTTTAAAAATTGTGGGAGAAATTTGATTATTCATTCGTTGCTCAGCATGCTTTGATATCCAGTCTAACTCCTCCAAATGCTTCCTCTTTTGGATCAGTGGTTACTCTCTCAAGAAAATTATGAGGCCATGATCTTATAAATATCAATAAAATGGACTTGTTCGATGAAATAATAGTTGTCTACTTAATATTACCAACACTCTAATGTTTAATATGAATGCTCCTCATCAATTGAAGGTTGAAGAAATGTCCTCTCATCAAACAAATCCCCGCCCATTTGCTCAATAACTTTCCATCAATATCTCTTCTCAACACCAACCAATATATGTTTTCTTTACCACCACAAGTATTTGGATACAGGCTATATTTTTTGTAAAATTTGTTGTATATTTCAGGGGTATTCTCACAGATAAAAAGGTTGTTGATGTAATGATCCTATTATTTGATGTTTATAATTCCAACTGACATTATATTTAATGAGAGTTCCTTTTTTCTCACTCTTCCTACTCACTTAAATCATTCTCTCCTCATATTCCTCTGACTTTAGCAACTCTTCTTCCTATATCTATACCACTGCAATTTTACTTAAGACGAACTTAATTGCATCAACCAATAACGCCTCAATCCACATTATTAGATTTAGTTTAGCAAGCATCTAATGAGGAATTCTCTAATCTCTAATTACCAATAGGCTAAGAAAAGGCAAAAGGCACCATATTACTCCTCCAATTCATCCTTATATGATATTTTATCATTCTATACTCTTTTTGTACATGTCATGTCCATACCATCTGTATCTATTCTTGAGTTATATCAAGAAGCACTTCAAAATTCACTATGAAAATCGGTCATAACTATTGAGTTGGATGATTTGCTAGTTGTCATACATGAAATTTGGTTATCCTCCACTTTGTCTTTAAATTCATTATGGAAAGCCTTCTTCGACCAAGGCCAAAAAGATTAGAAAGTTCATCTACAATCATAGTTGGGTTTTAGCTTTGATGAGGAAGTTTTCTAAAAAAGAACTCTTACAACATGCAATTATTAAATTTGCTATAGCATACTTAACTCTATAAAGCATCTGGGAAGCAATACAATATTTAAAGGCAATAGTCAACTCCACACAATGGTAGCTTTAGCTTAATCGACATTTGCATGCTACAAGATTATCCGCAATATCAATATGTTGAGAACAAGTAAACTAATTTAGAAATCAAAGTTAAGTTGTCAAATTGTATGGATATATTGATACCACCCTTTAGAATGCACTTGTGTCTTAAGGCATCTTTGGATGCAATTCATTTTCTCCATAGGATATCCTAGTGCCTTAGAACATATTTCCATGCAAAATGCATGAAGCCTTTGCCTGAAAAAAATCTGCACTAAGTTACTGAAGAAGAGTTTTATCAGAACATGGCATTGTTCGGCTCTGAAAAGCATGAAACCTTGGCTCCATTCTAGCAGAATAAAATATGTCTTATCATTTGTTTGATGTCTTAGTCTAGATGGAGCATGACGTATAACGAAAGAAGGGAGGAAAAAGGGATAAAGAAATGCCACCAATTCCTTAAGGCACTTCTTACAGAAGGCTGAAGCAAAGGGCGACAAATCTGCTTGCCCAGAGGTTGTCGACAGAAGCTTCGTCAAAGAAATTTAAGAACTGGATGCGCCTTTAATGGAGGCATCACCACCATAACATATGTGGCAAGCATAGATGGAGATAGTAATTGCATTGTTGATGGAGCTGGAGGCATAGGCAAGGCCGTCTAGCAACAATCATAATACTCCACGAAACTGAATCACTTCTAACAGACAATTCAAACCCTACTAATTTTTATCGAAACCTGTAATAACCTAGTATACAATGAGAGCCTCCACGTCCCAAAACGGAACTTTTATTTGGTCCGGTGCAAGGACCTAGAGGAAGGTTCGGTTTTGTCTAAAAAAATGCAAATACCGAGTTTTTTGAAAAAATACCGAGTTTTTCAAAAACCTCGGTATTTGCACTTTTTGACCTATTTTTGCCTAAAAACGAACCTTCCTCTACATCCAGTGAAAGGACCTAATAATTGCTCCCCAAAACGACAAGACTCACCAAGCTTCCTTCAGTAGTGTAAATTCATCAACAATCCTCGTGTTCCTGAATAGCTACTACTATTGTGTCCGAAAAGAACCCCGCTTGCAGTACCAGCGAATTCTTTCGCATTCTAGGGCACGGAATTTCTGAGGGAGATTTAATCCAAAACCTAGCATTCATATTCTAGTTCCGCATAGTATGCATCCGCTGATGGGCAAATTATTGCATCAGGTCACCTGACAGAGAGATGCGTTCGGTCTCTCTCTGTCTACAGTAACCTGCGCTTTACTGTAGCACTGCTACAGTAAAGCGCAGGTTACTGTAAACAGAGAGAGACCGAAATAAATTATAATTATTAAAAAAATAATTTCAAAATTAAATAATAATAATTACTTTTCTTATTTCCATTAATACTTAAATTATAACAATTTATAAAAAAATAATATACCTTAAAGTCAAGATTGATCATGTCAGCTTGGTTATTTGTCTGCCCTTCTATCTAAAAAAATAATCCAACACATCACTAATATTCTCCATATTATAAATTTAATGCCTAAAAAATTTCTAATAATTCTATCATAAAAATCATGTTTCATATCATATATTTATTAAATTAGCTTGCACCTTGTTAGAATTTTAAAAATATATACGTATTATAAGAATATTAATATTATTGAATATTAAAAATAATTTAGTTAAATTTATGCTTGCATAAATGACAATTAAACATGCTTAAAGTGCATGTGAATATATATAAACTTAAATGAATTAAAATATTATTAATACAAATAATTATAATAATGTTCATTTACATCAATATCGATTATATTAAATAAATTTTAATAAAATTATAATAATAAAATATTACTGCTTGTGAACAAATGACATAATATAAAATCTTGTCTTAGCCAATAACATTGACCTTTTCTTTATTTTAGAAGCCAAAATCACTCAATCCAACTGTAGCAACCATTGGTTCCTTGCTAACCATAGAATTTTCCCACATGAAGCCACCTGTGACAACTTCAGTCTTTCCAGTCCAGGGCGCATTTGGGCAAAATGGAACGAGAAAGCTGTTCACTTTGAATCTTTGCAAATGTCTAATCAGTTTATTCATGGTCAATCATCTGTTAACGGCAATATTATCTGTGCTGTCACCGCTGTCTACGCTAGTAACTTTCCCAATGAAAGGCAGATTTTATGGAATGACATTCAAGCAATAGCTACCATTACTAATGTCCCCTGGGCAGTTTTAGGGGATTTCAATTGATGTCGCATGCTGAATGAAAAAGCTGGGGGAACTCCACTATCTTATGCTAGACTTAGTGAACTCAATAGCATGATATTCAATGCTGGTTTACATGATCTTTCCTCTGTGGGGCACTTCTTTACGTGGCATAACCAACAGCAACAAAATCCTATACATATTAAGCTTGATCGTGTGATAGTTAATGATAACTGGCTGACTTACTTTCCTCACACGTTTTATAAAGTGGATGATCCTGATTGTTCGGACCACTCGCCGCTTATCTTGATGAACCCTTTAAGTATCAATAAAGGCCACCGCTTCATGTTTAAAAACTATTGCTTGAATCAACCTGAGTTTTGGAGCAATCTAGTGGATGTTTTCTCCCTTCCAAACAAAATCAGCCCTCTTAGCTCTTTCAGTTACAAGCTTAAAACTCTTAAAAACATTGTGAAGAGCAAATCTTGGTCCAATGCCAACACCATACAAACTCAAATTGATACTCTCAAAACCCAACAACACTCTGTTATTGCTCAGCTACAAAATACTCCTTTGGACCCTTTTCTAAACTGCTGTTTGACGGATATCAACACTAAGTTAGCTTTCTACCACAATTCCCTTACTAGTTGGATGACCCAAAGAGCTAAGGTGAATTGGCTGACTAATGGTGAGGATGATCTTAAGTTTCTGTATTCCAAAATCAATATTACTCAGAATCACAATCGTATCAAGATGATCTCCAATGATATGGGTTATTTCTCTAGCCACAGAGAAATTGCTGATGCCTTTATCAATCACTACACTAGTCTTTTTAACTCCCCTTGCCCTTCCACATCAAACCAAAGCTCTCACACCATTCCAGCGGGCAACCAAATTCCCAGTCACCTTGTCTCTAATCTCACTGCTCCTATCACTCTGGATGAAATCAAGAATATTGTTTTTTTCTGCTAAGCCTAATTGTGCTCCTGGACCGGATGGGTTCACTTTTGAATTTTATAAAGCCACCTGGAATACCATCAATACTCAACTTTGCAAATCTATAACTTCCTTCTTCAACACCAGATACTTGCCAGATCAAATCAAAGCCACTGCCATTGCTGTTATTCCTAAACAATCTCATGCCACTAATGTCAAGGATTTCAGACCCATAGCCCTTTGTAATGTCATTTACAAGATCATTGCGAAAATCATTGCGAATAGAATGAAGGAGGTGATGCCTTTAATTATTAACCCTAGCCAGGGTGGCTTTATCCATAAAAGGGTCATTTCTGACAATATTTTACTTGCTTCTGACACTCTTGGGAGTTTTAATACCAAAGCCAAGCAAAAATACTTCTGTGCCAAATTTGATATTACCAAAGCTTTTGATATGGTTTCTAGAGACTTTTTATACCAAAGGCTTGAGGTTAAAGGTTTCCCCGAAATGTTTATAAACTGGATTAAGGCTTGTACTAAGGATGTGCACTTCTCTGTCAGTATTAATGGTAAGCTTGAAGGGTATTTCAATTCAACATCTGGGTTAAGGCAAGGATGCCCTTTATCCCCATATCTTTTTAGCATTAGTATGGATGGCTTATCTTCCTGCTTTGATCATGCTATTGCTACCAAATCTTTTAATGGTATTAAAGCTGGAAACTGTATTGTTTCCCATCTGATGTTTGCTGATGACCTTCTGGTTTTTGGTTTGGCCACTGTTGACAATGCTCAAGCTCTCAACAATATCCTTCGCAACTTTGGTGCTGCTACTAGCTTACATACGAACCCAGCGAAAAGCTCTATTTTAATCTCCAAAGATACTACCATAGCATCATCTATCTGTGCTATTCTCAATATCCGACAAACTTCATCCCCAATGATTTATTTGGGTCTGCCCATCTTTTACAAAAAACTTAAAATTGCGCACTTCCAACCTCTTTTACAAAAAATTGTCACACTTTTAGACGGTTGGAAGGCAAAGACTTTATCATTTGCGGGGAGAATACAGTATATCAAATTCACCATATGCAATACGTTGGCCTACTGGATTCGTGGATCTATAATACCTAAAAGTTGTTGCAAACTTATCAACCGAATGTGTGCTAGGTTCACCTTCTTTGGCAATATCAATTTAAAGAAGCTCCATACTCTTTCGTGGAAAAACACTACTTTGCCTAAACAAAATGGTGGTCTGGGCATTCCTTCTATTGACTCCATGTACCATAGCTTTGGTTGTTCTATCATTTGGAGGTTTTTAAATTCCAGTAATTTATTTTTTTGCTGGTGGAGAGCCAAATACCATTCTCTGTGGAATACTTCGGCTGTGAACTGTTCTCATTACTGGAATGCCTTATGTAAGCAAGCCAATCATATTAAACACTGTATCAATTTTACTATTTGCCCGACCAACACTTTGTCTGTTTTCTGGGACCCTTGGTGCGGGGGGCATTCAATTGCTGATTATCTCATTTTAAACAATTCGATTGAGCAGTATACCCAATTCTTTGACTGGAAGGTATCTGATATCATTTGGGGGAGTTACTGGGCTATTCCCAGTTTCCTTGATAGCCATTTAGCTATGAGTATAAATTCTGTAGTGATAGAAGATAATATGGATAACCACTTCTGGCTTGGTAAACAGAATCCTAAATTTGCTGATTTTCGTAACCAATTCTATAGTAATTTGGAGGTGGTTGAGTGGCACAAAATTCATCTGGCATAAAAAAGCATCTCTCCGTTTTTCTGTTTATGCCTGGCTTGCTTTTAAAGGAGGTTTGAAAACTGCTGATGTGTTAGCTATGCGTGGGATTACCGATCACTTTAACTGTTGTTTTTGCCATGGAGAAAAGGAGACGGTTTCACATCTTTTCTTTGAGTGTAATTTCACCTTCAACATTATCAAAAGCTTACTTCCCTGGATGGATTCACAATTGTTGAAACCAAATCTTTATCAAGTCTATGATAGCATTTATGAGCAAAATATCAACAAACAACTGAAACATTATTTCTTGCTCTCTGGATCTGCAACTATCTATCATCTTTGGAGAGCGCGAAATGATCGGTTATATGGTGGAATTATTGATAGCCAGGAGACAATTTCTGTCAAGATTAGAAAAGCTTTAATTCTCAAAACCCATGGCTCGAAGCGTAGTTGAGTTTCTTGGTTTGCTGGATGTCTTATGGATGTTGTCACTAATGGCTTTGCTGCTGGAATTTTTGAGGCTCTTGCAAATTTTGTCGCTCTTGCAGGCAGCCTGAACTGGAGTAATGATAGGACAATGATGAATGCTGATCTTTTCAGCTACCCCTTGGATGGTCATTTTGGTAACCAGGGGTTCTGCGTTCTGGCAAGTCCCGATCGAGTTCATATCCTGTAGCCAGAACGTCCTGAGTCCTTAAGGCTTAGGCCTTACTGGTCCTTTTTGCTTATGTATTTTGCTTCTTTAGAGCTCCTAATCAATGTTTTATTTGATTTGGAGTTTTAGTTTTGCTTTTTCATTACTTGTAATCTCTTTTTTCATATATGAATGGACGAAGCCCCAAAAATTCCCCAAAAAAAAATGACATAATATACATAATATTATAATTATCCATTGGATTGAATTTAATAGATTTTTTTTTTGGGCTTCCAATTAAATTTGAGTGTTTTTAGCATAATAGTATTTGAGAAAATAATCTACTAGGAATTTAGAAAAACAATTTGAATTGAGTTTGCATGCCATTGGCAAGGAGAATTTATAAATCTACTCGACAAAGAAAATACTTCAAAGGCCTCTAAAATTCCTTTTGTACATCGAAAATCCTTTGTTTATAAAGATTAATTATAAATACAAAACAAAAATAATAAATTTGTTCCTCGAGAACTTACAAAAAAAAATTAGAACAAATTATGCAACAGCCACTCTAATTGATGAGCTTGAATAACTTTATGTACAGAAATCTATCTCCGACAAAAACTCAATGCACCATCTCATATGTTTTTTGCTCGCATTTGATATTATGTACTAATTACACAATTGAGTCAGCATCACTTTTGCTTTCCAAAGGAAGCATAACATGATCTAATTCACAGTAAATTGAGGAAAGAAAATCTTTTTTTTTTTTTTCCCTTCCTTTTCCATTCAAGATTGGTATAATATGTGAGTAGCTAAAGAATGCCAAAACCAAAATATTAGCTTACTAATGCTCTCCTGGCCACGTGACATTTTCTTTGACAAAGCTGAAAAGAGCAGACCTTGGCTGCGTTTAGGACGGCTTTTTTGCTTCTTCTTAAAACAATTTTTTAGCGAAAAATTTGTACGAAAAAACTGCTTTAATAAGCAATAAGAAGTTGTCCCAAACAAAGTCTTAAAAAGCATGATAAAGCATATATCCGCATAATCTTCAACATTTTTTACAATCATGGTAATTCATGACAAATTTAACATTAATCTATGATTGCATAAAGTTCATGATAAATAACCTAATGAGGCAATTCCTACAGGAAAGAGAAGAAAAGTTCTATCTTCAAAATACATCTACATTCAAATGTATGCTAATTTCCTTATCCAAAGTTTTCTAACTTGAATTGCAAAATATAAAATATGACAAAAATTATGTTAGATGGAAGTGCTATGGTGCTTAGTTTATTTTTGCAGCTGAGTTTAGATGTTTTATTCTTTTTTTTTTCTCTAAACGTAATTACAAAAAGTGTTTTTTTTATTAAGAAATGACTTATAAGAACGCAAGGAAGGTTGCTTGCCTGTGCCAAACAAGAGCTTGAATGTATGTGAATTGTTTGTGGATTCTTAACAATTCAGTATGCGCCAGTCTTTTGGAGCTTTGCAGCATGATGAAAAAATTTCTTAAAAGAGCATTGATGTAACTAATTGTTGATGCAGTGGATCGACGAAAGAATTAGATTTATTAGAAGGAACGCTAAGAACAAGGGAACAAACCAAACTCAAAGGCTTAAAATCATATAATATTCACCATCTCATTTTCCCATTATAATGACTATATAATAAGTTAAGAAGTTTCTAGAAAATAAGAAGGTAAGCTAGTTCTAAGGGTTTATTTAGCTAATGTGCACCACATCATTCTCCCCTTGCTTCAAAAGAGCTTGACTCTGTCGAGGCGCATCATCGGTAGGGAGGTAGGTGTAAAAAGTATAAGCAATCCTCCTGGATCGAAGAGTTTTTATCTTTGATGCATGCCCACAGTGGTATTATTCTCTTGTCCAAGCAAAAAGGGTCTGACTAGACAATACCCTCAAATACCTCTTTTAAGATCTTGCACCTGATTGTGAAACTTTTTATTTATATCATCCTTCTCATGGTATAGAAGCATTTATCGCTTGATTATTCTACAATAATTTATGAGATCATTCCTTGAAAGGAAGAAGGATTTCATCCACTGTAATGTAAACTAGTGTAACAGGGATGGCGACCAACTGATTCGCTGTTTGCTGAATCTCTACATCTGTAGTTAAAAGGGCATTCTTACAAACATCTGGACTGCATTGAGATTCTTTAAAGGTGTCATTTGTGGTTGTATCCATGAAAGTTAAACACCTGCTGTAAGCTACATCCAATCTAGCAACATTAACAGAATTGAAAACTAGGTTGTCATATACATACGATATGTTCCCAATCAGTGCACAAACTTGTTCAGTTTTGAGCAGAAATTATCCAATCATGTGCTGTATCAGATTTCTGAAACATTGCGAGCAGAAGCCGCAACAGCCAAAATGGGTCATTCGGAGTAGAGGCGTTGATTTCCTCGAGAAAATTGTAGATGATGTTGTAGGAGTAGAGCCTCTCTAAGCCTGTAAGCCAGGATAACTTTCTTGTTTGAATGTTTGTCTCATCATAGACTTGAGATCCTCAACCTCATTAGCAATTGAATCAAGCTCCATCAACCGAGATTGATTTTCGAGCCCCTTTGAAGTTTGTCTGGCATAAAACACTTCAAGCAAAATCACTCCAAAGGAATAAGCATCTGATTTCTTAGATAACTCCTTCCCGCATAAGTAATCAAGATCAAGATATCCAAAACTCACCTTAACGGTAGTACTCACATGAGTTTGATCCAAATTAGGACCAATCTTTGAAAGCTCGAAGTCAACAACCTTCGCCATCAAATTTTCATCAAGTAGGATATTTGCAGATTTGACATTACGGTAAATGATCATCATTGCAAAACCTGAGTGAAAATAGCGAACTATTATTGCTAACATAATGCAAATTTCAAGCCTCTGCTCCCAATTGAGGTTAGGAAGATATGAGCTGTACAGATGACTCTTTAAAGCTCCCTTGTCCATATAATTGTAAACCGGAATAATTTCATTTCGCTCATCACAGTCCAGTGTGGTGTCTCGCTCCCGCCGTCTTCCATGTAGCATGTCCTCAAGGCTTCCTTACCTTATGTACTCTTACCCTTGCAACTGCTCCATATTGACCATGTAGTAACCCAACAATGGTAAGAGGTTTTCGATGCTTGATCTTTCCCAGCGTCTCCATCTCCATGGTAAACTGCCGATTAATGGTGATGTTGGAACCGTCCTTTTGCGCGGCCTTAAATACATCCCCGAATCCTCCGGTCTCGATCATGTTCACGACGGGGAAGCCGTTTGTCTCCTCGATCAGCTGCAGGAACGTTAGTTTGCGTAGTTGGCGTTGGAACGTGACAGTGTTGAGGCTGCCGAGCATTTTTTCATCTTCCGGCTCCCTCTCGACGGAGCCACCGAAAGAAACCTCCGTAGGCTTCTCTAGAGCTACCACCGACGATAGCACCCCGGACACCGCCAACTTTTCTCTCCTGCTCGCCATCATCTCCATCCTCTACTGATTCTTTGCTCTGCTTTGCTTCAAAATCAACTTGATCAACATATACGAACTCCTTTGTCACAACCTTCACTTAGCTTTTTCCTCAATAGTGGTGGCATAAGCTATTCGCGCTGCTGGTATGGTTGCCAACGCGCCTATTCTATTAGGGAATGCATGAAATTAGCAAATAAATCATCTAATATCAAGTGATTCCACCCATCTTCTTCAATGTCCATCATCATCGAGAATTCATCTTCTTCGGCTTTGATCGTTGTCGATAATTCATCTTCTTCAGTTTCAATCGTCGTCGGCAGCCCATCTTCTTGACTTCGATCGCCGTCGATAGCCCATCTTCTTTGGCATCGAGCATCATCGACAACTCATCTTCGTTGGCTTCGATCGTTATCGATATCCCATCATCTTCGACGGTTCGTCATTCTTCATAAACTCATCTCTGATACCAACTAATATAGTTGATGTGACGCCCCAGGCATCCATAGTGAAAGGATTCGTCTGACATTCTGATCGAACTCCATTCCAGTTGCAAAAAAAATCAGCTTTTTGAAGGGTTTTACAGTTGATCAGTGGAATAATTTGATCTATTATAAGGAACACTAAGAACAAGAAAACAAATCAAACTCAAAGTCTTAAAATCATATATATGTAAATCTCCCAATCATATAATATTCAACATCTCCTTTTTTACTTACAATGCCTATATATAATAAGCTAAAAAATTTCTAAAAAATAAGAAGATAAATTAGTCCTAAGGGTTATTTAGCTAATGATGCACAGCAGCTATGTATATATAATATTATTTCCAGCTTTCGAGGACTTAACAAATCTACGGTGGACTAACCATTATCCTTTCGGTCAAAGGAAGCGCTAAAGAATGATCCAAAAGTTTTATCTTAGCTTGTATTATGGTGAATAGAAAAAATGATCTGAACCATATTTCCATTACAAAAACCCGAATTGCCTTTTTCTCTGACTATTGTAAGTCAGTCAAGTCAGTTTGAATTCGTCTCAATAAATGACTCATGAGTCAAATTTGATGAGCTAATGAGTCAACTTTGACTTGAATGGTTAGTTCGCAAGCTAGCTCATTTAAAAAAAAAATTAGTATAAAATACATATAAAATATACTAGCATTCGTAACTTTAAATATAAAATTATTTAATATTTAAAATTTATATCTAGTTTTCTTATATTAAGTTGTTTTTTTATTATTTTTCTTCTTATTTGTATTTTTTTAATCATTTTATTATTATAATCCTTAGATCAAAATTATTTTCTCTCTTTTTACAGTAAATGAACCGGCAGCTAATGAGCCGATTGGAACTTGTAGAATAGAGCTGAAGCCAAGAATCCAGCTCGACTTGCATATACCCTTAGATATGCTTACACACGACTCTTGACACAAAATGCATCAATAATCGTGCCAGCCCTTCCAGTCTATTGTAGCCGGACTCCTTATAAAAGCAGCAACCCTTGCTTTAAAGCAATTACTCACTCTATTTTTTTTTTTTTGGGACGAGGAAACACTGTCCAAAGCCAATTAAAACATCGGTCGACCTGGGCAGCCCACACCAATTTATCCAAGCCGACGATTAAGGCTAGCACTACCGTCGAGGGGACTCGAACCTAGCACATGGGCTTTGCCCAGCCGGTTCTCCACCACATGGACTAAGCAACAGTGGGTACACATACTCATTCCTTTCTACCCACATAAAATAGAGTAATTATTGTGTTCGGATACCGAACTTGTCCAGAGACTAATAACAAAACGCCACATCACTTGGGCATTAAGTACCAGTATTTTGTCCGGATGTAATAATTTTCCCATGAAATATGTTAGGATGGCTGAATACTTTGTTCTCAACACGGGTGCGAAGATTCCCTCCGTCGGGCTCGGCACGTGCCTGGCAGAGCCTGGCATCATTGGAGCTTCCGTCAAGGTATCAAAGGCTTCGTTTGGTTTATTTCCCCTTACAGCGTCAAAAACGTCAATAGAAGAAAATGCTTTTTTTAAACGGAGAAGTTATTATATAATGCTTCTCTAAACAATAAAGAAATGGAGTTTTTAAAAAAGTCTGTCTCACGTCCAAACAAGTTTCAAGACTGCGTTTTCCGTTTCAAACTAAAAAAAGGAGGAAAAACGTGGAAACAAACGAGCCCAAAATCTCTCATCCTTTCTTTTTCAGCGTTGAGAAGAAAATACTGGAGGCATATTAGGTCGTTATATATTGTAAAATATGTTTTAAGAAAATATTAATAAATCTGATGCATTTAGGTTTCATTTGAAACAAATTTCTTATTGCTTTCAAAATAATTTTTTAGTTAAAAATTTTCATGAACTAAAAATTTTATATTAAAAAGCTGTTTTAAAAATAGTAAAAAAATTATTAGCAAAACCTTAATCATTTTTATATGTAGTTAAAAATTAATATATATTTAAACTCTATAAATATCTTTAAAATCTTTCAAATAATTATTTTGGCTTAGTTTGAGATGGCTTTCTTTATGCTTCTTAAAGAAATTTTTTAGTACAAAAATTAAAATTTTTGAGATCACCGCCTGATGCCGAAGTTCCACTAGACTACCACCAGACATCCGAAGTTCTGCCTAACCACCGCATGACACCCAGAGTTCCGACTAACCACCACCTGATTCTTGAGTTTCATCAAACCATCACCTGATGCACGTAGTTCTCCCGGACCACAACCTAACGCCCGAAATTCTCCCGAACCACAACTTGTCAGACCACCCACCGCCTTATGCCATCTATCTTTCTAACACCTGTCTCCTACTGACTACAGTCCTTCCAACTTCAGTTGCCTACTACGGTCCTTCAGACCTCCATCTCAAGACAACGACCTTTCTGACCCTTGTCTCATGCCGACTACGATCCTTTCGACTTCCACCACCAGACAGTGATCTTTCTGACCCTTATCTCATGTTGACTACGGCCCTATATATCTGTTATATCAAGCAAAGGTCTTCCCTCTCCAATGATGTACATCATTTGTAATTGACTGAAAATAATAGTGGATTCATTCAAACAAGGCTAGACCCTGTGATTTTTCCCCCTTTTCAGAAGTTTCAACATAAAATCTCTGCCGTCTCTTATGAACGCTACACCCTCTCTCTTATCTAATTGCGTGCTGGATCTTCGTGCAATGCTAAGACGTTAAACTTTATATTTCTCTTCCGCCGCGAATATTCCAGGATGCAACAATACAAGAAGGTTATTTTGAAAAATACATTTTTCATCAACTCTTTTTGTCCTTACAGTTGGAATTCACAAAAAGATGAAAGAATTCTGCTTGTTTCCATTTTTGAAATTAGAATGCTCAGAAAAGAATAGAAAAAGTCAGAATAAGTTGCAATTGGACTTTCAAGTATGTGAAATGATAGCTTCCAAAGAAACTAGAGCAGGATTGGAAAGAGTTTTGTGTTTAAGGAGAGGCAAGAAAGGTTTATATAGATATTATTTTTAGTTTTGTATTATTTGGTGAGTGAATGAGAGGTGGAAGTCAACCATATATGCTATATAGTATATAGAGGCATGTCCAAAACTGACGTTTATAAACATATGGAGTAAAGATTCATAGAAGCTTAGTCATGATTGTTTTGTAATTTCATTGTTGTTTTAATGCATTTCTTCTTTATTTCTTTTGAGGAACCAATAACTACTTCAAAATTGACTACAAAATCTAAGCTATAATGTCATTTTCATGCTATATCTAAAGAAGTTCTTGTCTCAGAACTTTCGGTAGAAACCAGAGAAAGACAATGACATGATACAGAATAAAGTAATTTCTTATTATTCAGAAAATGTGTACACAGGTAGCTATTTATAGAAGCTGAGTTACAAGAGAAAGACCGATCTTTAAGTTGATCGTACAATTCTTTTAATGGCTCTTCTTGCTGACGTGGACATAGGCTTTAACATGCCCCCTCAAACTAATCAGTCGGGTGGACGGATGGTTAGTTTGGCTCGTAAGATGGAGAACCGAGAAATAGAGAGAGGCTTGGTGAGAATGTCAGCTATCTGATCCGTGGTGCTGAGATGATGAACTCGAATAGCGCCTTGTTTGATGTGTCCACTAATGAAGTGATAGTCAATCTCGATGTGTTTCGTTCTGGCATGAAACACTGGATTGTTTGCGAGAGCAATGGCGGAAGTGTTGTCGCAGAAGATTGTGGTCGGTTGATGTTGCGGTATGAGGAGTTCATTGGCTAGGCGGCGTAACCACAGCACCTCGGACGTTGCCGAAGATAGAGATCGGTACTCAGCTTCTGTGGAAGACTTAGCGACGGTGGTCTGTTTCTTAACAGACCATGAGATGAGGTTGTTACCTAAGTATGTACAGAACCCGGAGATGGATTTGCAATCCGTAGCGTCGGACGCCCAGTCGGCGTCAATGTAGGTGCACAGCCGAAGGTTGCCGAGAGTGAGCGGAAGCCCGTATGTGATTGTTCCCTTAATGTACCTGAGCAAGCGTTTAAGATCGCGGTAGTCGGAATTCCTGGGCTGATGCATTCGTTGACATATCATGTTTGTGGCGAATGAGATGTCAGGCCTCGTGAGAGACAGGTATTGCAAAGAACCAGCTAATTTTCGGAACAAATGAGGGTCTGAAAAGAGCTGGTCATCGGTGCTGTGCTTGACATTTTTTACGCCGAGTGGAGTGGGATAGGGCTTGCAAGTTGAGAAGCCAGAAGAATGAAGTATTTCTTGAGCGTAGTGAGACTGGCTAAGAAAATAACCTGCGGTTGATTTGATGATTTGTATGCCGAAGAAGAGAGACACTTCTCCCAATTGTTTGATGTGGAACTTTGTGTGTAATTGCCGCAGGAAATATTGAATTTGGGTGTTGTCATTTCCAGTGATTAGTATGTCATCTACGTAAACAAGAATAAAGATATGAGTATGATTATTATTAAAAATAAGGAGCGATGGATCAGCTTTATTGAATTTAAAACCGAGAGATACATATCTAACACCTAAAACTTTAATATTACATACATACCACCCTATATTATCTTAATATCAAATATACCACTTATATTTCATTCCTACCACTCATACATTTCATTTCTACCACTCATATTTGGTATGAAAATGAACTAATAAAAAATAATGAGAAGTTTATATACATAACATAAAATTTTATATATTTATATATCCAATATTAAAATTTACATATTGATTTACATAATATTTAAATTTTAAATCATATTAAATATTTGTCTATTATTTTTATAATAAAAAATAATTTTATCTATATATTTTGATGATATATAAAACAGTAGTCACTAACTTTTCTCTTCTTGCTACTTTCTCCTCCCTTAGTTCTTCTATCTGCCCAATAGAATTCGCTCGCATGCCTGAATACTTTGTTCTCAACACTGGGGCGAAGATCCCCTCCGTTGGGCTCGGCACGTGGCAGGAGAAGCCCGGTGGTGCCGGAGCTGCTGTCATCGCGGCCGTCAAGGTATCAAATCTCTTTTTCATTCGTATTCAGTGCTGTTATAAGTTATAACTAGAAGGATCAGCTTTACTGAATTTAAAACCGAGAGATTGAAGAACTGTTGTGAGTTGGTGAAACCATTGACGAGGCGATTGTTTGAGTCTGTAGATGGACCTTTGCAGTCGACATACGTGACGTGGTTTTTGTTCGTCAAGAAAACCGGTAGGTTGTCGCATGTATACTTCTTCGTGGAGATCGCCGTGCAAGAATGCATTGGAGACGTCCAGTTGAGTGATGTTCCAGTTATTGTGTAAAGCCACTACGAGTAACATGCGAATGGTGACCATTTTGGCCACGGGGCTAAAAGTTTCAGTGCAGTTAATACCGTATTCTTGAGAACAGTCGAGTGCGACCAAGCGAGCCTTATATCGGGCTACTCGGCCATCAGGTTGAAGTTTCTTCTTGAACGTCCATTTGCAGCCGATTATCGGTTGATTAGGCGGCGGCGGTACTAGCGTCCAAGTTTGTTGTTGTTGCAATGCTTGAAATTCGGAGAGCATAGCATCACGCCAGTGAGCTTGTTTGTTCGCTTGAGCATATGAAGTTGGCGTGGGATCGGAAGAAGAGACGGCCGAGAGATCAAAGATTTTCTTGGGTTGGGTAATACCATCTTTGAAGCGAGTCTGCATAGAATGTCTTGGAGGTTGTATAGATGATGTGCCGTTGATGGAGGGTGTGATAACTGGGCAGTCCGAAATGAGTGATTCTTGATTTGAACATGTTGGAACGGATTCAGGAATAATGACAGTAGATGACGGTTTAGGGGGAGTGTGGGCAGATTCCGTAGGTGCAGGAGGGATAGAGGAAGTGGGAACAAGAAGTAAGGGTGCAGGATTAGTTTGCGAGCTGTCCAAAGAAATGGGAGTGTGTTTGGTTTGGAACGGAAACTGATGCTCAACGAAGACCACATGCCGTGAAATGTGAACTCGATTGGTGACTAAGTCCAGACATCTATAACCTTTGTGTTGAGATGAATAGCCGAGAAATAGGAATTCTTGGGATCTTGGAGATAGTTTGTTCTGTGCTTGAGGCTTGAGCCAAGGAAAACACGAGCAACCGAAGGTGCGGAGATGCGTGTAAGTGACAGGTTTGTTGTGCAGCTTAGAGAAGGTAATTTGATTAGAGATGGCAGCGGAGGGAAGTCTATTTATTAAATAATTTGCAGTGGAGATGGCTTCCGCCCAAAAAGATTGAGGTAGGTGTGCGGCGTGGAGAAACGTTCGGGTGAGATCCAGAAGATGGCGGTGCTTGCGTTCGGCAAGCCCGTTTTGCTCGGGAGTATACGGACAACTTACCTGATGCGTGATGCCATGATTGGAACAATAGAGTTGAAAATCACGATTCATGAACTCTCCGCCTCCGTCTGAACGAAACATCTTAATGTTACTGTTAAAATTGTTTTTGATTAAATTGTGAAGGTTTTGAAATTTATAAAACGTCTCGTTCTTATTTCGCATCAAATAAAGCCAGGAAAATCTAGTAAAGTCATCGATGAAAATGACGTAGTACTTAAATCCATTGAGAGATGTCTGCGGAGAAGGTCCCCAGACGTCTGAATGGATTAACTGAAAAGGTTTATTGCAATGAGAGGTACTGGGCAAGAAAGGCAGTGTATGGCTTTTCGCCACATTACAAGAAGTGCATGTAAGTAAAGAATCAGAAGAATTTCTAAGTTCTGGAATTTGTTTGGCGAGAACATGGAACGTCCGGCTGTTCGGATGTCTGAGCCTTGCATGCCACACGGAAGCAGAGTTGTTGGCGGCTTTGAAGGCGTGGGCGGAGCTCATCGTTTTAGGTGTAGTTTTGATGAGGTAGAGACCATTGTGCGCTTGACCTTGGAGAAGAAGTTGATTGTCATTGCGATCCTTAATAGAAAAACCACGAGCGTCAAAACAGATAGTAATATTGTTATCATTGGTTAGTCTAGAAATGGATAGTAAATTATGAGATACAGAGGGCACATGTAAAATATTTTGAAGGTGTAGCTTACACGTCGAGTCCGATAAAGGCAGTATGCCTTGTCCCGAATTCTGAATGGGAAGATTGTTACCATTTGCAATGGAAACATAATCGTATCCATTGTAGGGAGTAGCATGGGCAAGATTCGTAAGATCGGCGGTGAGATGCGACGAAGCCCTGAGTCTAGGACCCAGTCCGTGGACGGTACATGTTGCTGTTGAACGGTGAGTGCCTTCGAGTTGGTTGGGGCGTAGTTCATATTACACCGGTGCCAACAGTTCAGTGCCGAATGTCCGATTTTGCCACAGATTTGGCAAGTTTGTCTCTATCATTGGTTAGAGTTTTGCGAATTTGAGCCAGGTTGTTGAGTCTGTAGTAAGTTTGTGCTTCTGTTGCGATTCTTGTTGAATCTTGCTTTGCCATAGTTGTTGCGGTTGGTCATGAGAGCCACCGAGTCAGTTTGGTGCAGGGTTTCCTTCATCTGTTCTTGATGGAGATTGATCTCCTCACTGCATAAAAGAGAGTAAAGAACATCTAAACTAATTGGATTTAATGATGTTCGGATGGATGTCTTGAACGCATTGTAATTGGACGGGAGTCCGTTCAAGATGTATAGGACAACATCCTCGGTGTCGATTGTGGAGCCGGCGGCGGCTATGCTGTCTACGAGGATCTTGATCTGTGCTAGGTACTGTTGCATAGATCTATCTTTCATTTGTATTTGATGTAGCTCGTTCTTGAGCTGAATCACGCGGGAACGATTTGTTGGTTGAAGTCATTTCTCAAGAGTGATCCAGACTTCATGTGATGATTTCAGGTTGATGACGTATGGTAAAATAGAAGCAGAAATGGTGGAGAAAAGTGCCGATGAAAGATTTTGATCGGTGATCTTCCACTGTTTGTATTCGGCGATAGAACTTTCTGGTGGACATACTTCGTGTCCGGAAAGATAATCTGCGAAGCCATTTGCAGAGAAGTTTTGATGGATCTGCAGTCTCCATATCGCATAGTTCTCACTGGTGAGAGAAATGGGAACTAGGCTTTTGAGATTTGAGATGAGAAATTTCAATTGTGGCAGAATGGAGAAGACGGTGGGAGGGACAACGGAAGATGCGTTGGAAGGGGTAGAAACCCCTGATCTTTGATCTGCCATGAGGATTCATTGCTGTGGAGCTTTTCTTGCTCTGATACCATAAAGAAGTTCTTGTCTCAGAACTTTCGGTAGAAACCAGAGAAAGACAATGACATGATACAGAATAAAGTAATTTCTTATTATTCAGAAAGTGTGTACACAGGTAGCTATTTATAGAAGCTAAGTTACAAGAGAAAGACCGATCTTTCAGTTGATCGTACAATTCTTTTACCGGCTCTTCCTGCTGACGTGGACATAGGATTTAACAGGTACTACTACGGAGAAATAATTGCTGAAGGCTCATTTGGCTCTCTTACTGATTGCTTTTCTGAGTCCTTTCTGCTTCGCTTTTTACATTTCTTACTTGTATTTTCACTGTTTCTTTTCTATATCTTTTATAATTATATTTTGATATGATTTAAAAAAAAATTAAGGTGATATATAAGTCACTATAAAAATTAATGTATCAGATATATAAATACATAAAATTTTCTTATTATGTATGTAAAACCCCCCTTCGAAATTCTAAATATTTTTTTGAAATTTCTCATAAATTATGATTTCATTTTCACCTAGATAAGTGGAATTAAATGATTAGAAAAAACTTCTATCTATGTTAGAGGAGTAATAAAAATAATTGTTTACATGATTTCTCTTCATTAATTTACATCATCATATCTATTATCTATCTATGAATATTTTTCTAATTTTATTTGAAACGATTTTTTTACTGCTTCTTAAAGCAGCTTTTATGTGCAAAAATATAAAATTTGTATATTAGATACATCATTTTTAAAAAAAATTATGATCGGGCATGAATCTCGAGGCAAAATTAAGTTTAAAACTTCTGAAATTAAAATTGGAACCATCTAAACTCTAATTTCAACAAACTTATTTCTAATTTTATTTGAAACGATTTTTTTACTGCTTCTTAAAGCAGCTTTTAAGTGCAAAAAATATAAAATTTGTATAATAGATACATCATTTTAAAAAAAAATTATGATCGGGCATGAATCTCGAGGCAAAATTAAGTTTAAAACTTCTGAAATTAAAATTGGTACCATCTAAACTTTGATTTCAACAAACTTATGGTCAAACTGAACGTCTCAAGAATACAAACCCAACGACACCAAATTCGACTCAATCCGAGCCCAAATGAGTCCAAATCAAGGACCCGAATTGTCATTGGAAGGTTCAAACCACAATTAGGATTACCAAAAAGTTTCCAAATATGACATGCCTCTAGTCGAATCGAGCGGGTCGACGAGACAAATCCAACGAGCCTAAGATCACAGAATTCCGACATCATTAAGACTTTCAAATGTCTAGTGAATGGACCACAATCAAGAGATTTAACATATGTCGTCCATCCAAATCACTCCTCATTTACCCTTGATCTTCCTTCTATATTATGGATCACGTTACTCTAGAAAATCTATAAATAGACCTCTTCTTCCTCTTGAAAGGGGGCCCTGAAGGAAGAGACCAAGAGAGAGATTAGAGATCGCTCTTGCCCATTAGCTCATCCTCGACCACCTCCCAGAGTTCTGTCAGACCACCATTTGACGCTCGAAGTTCCGTCGGACCACAACTTGATGCCCGGAGTTCCACCGGGCCACCACCTGACGCCTGGAGTTCTCTCGGGCCACCACCTGATGCCTGGAGTTCCACTGGACCACCACATGACGCCCGAAGTTCCTTCAGACCACCACCTGATCCCAGAGTTATGTCGGACCATCACTTGATGTCGGAGTTCCGTCGGACCATCGCCTTAAGACAACAATCTTTCTGACCCCTATCTCTTACCGACTACGGTCCTTCCGACCTTCATCGCCTACTATGACCCTCCTGACCTCCACCGCTAGACAACAGTCTTTCTGACCCTTGTCTCTTACCGACTACGATCCTTCTAACCTCTGTTTCCTACTATGGTCCTTCCGACCTCCACAACAAGACAACGGTTTTTCTGACCCTTGTCTCTTGTCAACTACAATCCTTCTGACCTCCATCGCCTATTACGGTCCTTCCGACCTCCATCGCTAGACAACGGTCTTTTTTGACCCCTATCTCTTGCGACTACGGTCCTTCCGACCTCTATCACTAGATAACAATCTTTCTGAACGTTGTCTCCTGCCTACTATGGTCCTTCTGACCTCCGTTGCCTACTACGGTCCTTCCGACCTCCATCGTCAGACAACTGTCTTTTTTGACCCATGTCTCCTACCGACTACGGTCCTTCCAACCTTCGTCAGCTACTATAGTCTTTCCGACCTCCATCGCCAGACTACAGTCTTTCTGACCCCTGTCTCCTCCTAACTTCAGTCTTTTCGACGTCCGTCGCCTGTCGACTATGGTCTTGCCAACTAAACGAATATATCAATACTAATTCTTCCAAGTTCTACCATATAATGCATTCTATATGATGTACATTTGCTATATCAACCTAAGGCCTTTCCCCCAATGAAGGGATGCATTTGTAATCGACTGCAAATAATAGTGGATTCATTCAAACTGGGTTAGACCCCATGGTTTTTCCCAAAAGGGGTTTCCACATATATAAAAACTCTAGTGTCTCTTATGAATGCTACAACCTCTCTCTTATATGATTGCACGTTGGATCTTTGTACAATGCTAAGACGTTGAACTTTATATTTCTCTACCGCCGCCAATATTCTAGGCCGCAACAATATTTAAATAAGAAAATGGTCGTAAACAAAACCTCTATCACTAAATAAAATTATTAGTCTATCAATGATTTCTCTTCATTCAGATCACAATATGATTTTTTTTTAACATCTCTTTTTTCTTAGTGCTGATAGTTAGTATTATAGTTAGTATATTCCAGAAAGTATTTATAATTTTATTTAATTTAGTAATTATTAATACTAGTCATAATACTAACTTTTAGCACAGGAGTTTTTTTTAGCTAAGCTTAGTGGCAAATCTTGGGTTCTCAAAGAGCTATTAATCTGTAAGATTTATTGTAGGAAAACATCTTCCTAATAGTGCAGTTATGTGCATCAGCATTTATGTGCTTTTTTTTTTTGTTACAACACCAACAGATCGGAGAATAAAAGGAAAGAAAGGAAAATACAAATAAGAAAGGGCTCAACAGAACGGCCAAGGTTCCCAGCATCCCAGAAGCCTCACACGGACCATCCAAAAGGAGAATGCAACGCCCAAAAACCAACCAACTCAAATAATTCACCAATGGTTGCCACCAGCAATACTTACGGATGCGAGCCCCAGCCACATCATTGCCCTATAATCAAGCGCATCAAAGCAACCACTTTTCCAAAAATACCAACCCACCAAAGAAAGATTGAGTAATAAAGCAAAAAGCAAAGTTATCTTCTCCTCCGACCCCTCCCACGAAATCTCCCACGGGAGGAAACCGATAATACAGGCCTCTCACGAACCAAAGTGAAGTCGTTACCAGGATCAGATCCACCGCAGATATCCGGAAAAGTCTTGCCACAGTCCGAAAATTAGGATTCATATTCATATTCAGAAGAACCATTCAACCAATCCATGTGATTCCTGATATCAAATCAAGAATTATCCCCCAACCGATAACCCATAGTATGCATATCGACCAAATTAATAGAGACATCTACTAAACCCTAAAGCATTTGTAACCATTAAAAACTTCGATTAACAGTTAATATATATCACTTGATTTCTTGTAATTAGAAAACAAATTAGAAAAATAATTTTTCATGTAAAAGCAGAAACATTATATTTGAGGGGGTTTTGAAAGGATTTGTTGAATTTAAATTAGCTGATTTCAAACTCCAGCTAGCTGATATAGTGATATTCGATTGATCAAATTTCAAAAATTTTTAAAACAAGTTTTCTAACATGTTGAGGCTTTATTTGGGACGGCTTTCGAAGCAGCTTTATAGTGCAAAAATATTAATTTTTGAATACAAAAAAACAGCTAAAACAAAAAAAAACCTGAATCTAAAGGAATCCTGACCAGCCTCACACTCATGATCCTCTATCCTGACCTGAAATCATTTAATCACATATAATTGTGTAGATCATGAGTATTATATATGATTTTTTGGAATGAATATAGATGTGTACATTATTGTTTTAAATTATAGAATATGTTTTATTGTTTATTACTAATAAAAGATATTAGATTGCTCTGGTTGTTCTTTATTAAAATATAAATAAATAATTCTTCCAAATTAGATTCATGGGCATCACAAAAGCTGTCTCAAACGAAACCTGAAGCAATCAAATAAGCCCTCGTAATAAAAGGGTATATGGATGCTGGTTAAAGCTGAAATTGCTCCTTATGCCGCAGTGTATTCACCTGCTGGAATGATATTTATGTGTTTATGGTATGCTTAATGCTAATACTTATATTTCTGTCTGTTTTGACAATTCTTGTCCCATGTTGTGATGCAGGCTGGCTACAGACATTTTGATTGTGCTTTAATATACGGCAATGAAAAAGAGGTATTTTATGTTGATATGCACGAATTTTGAAGTTCCCTTATTTATATGCAATTTTTTTTTATTACCACTCCATATCTCTTTATCATATTTCATAATAAATATTAAATAGCAATATTACTTCAAAAATTATATGTTTTCATTCGAGAACAAAAGAAAAAACAAAATTTAGATCAAAATATGTGGTAGCAATTAAGCTTAAAGTCATACTATTTCTATTAAGGTTATTGTGTAATATGTTTGAATAACATAGATTAGACTATTGATATGACAAGCCAAAATGGGCCACACTCCATAACAGCTAGCTTGTAAGTTTATGTTAGTTTGAAACAAGCTTTGTTCCTGCAAAGGAGAAATTATTTTGTGCAAATATCAGACGGAGAGAATCGTTCGGATTTGCGGTGTTTTACTGTCATTTTACTGTGCTTTTGCAAAAGGGCAGTGAAAAGACAGCAAATATTCAATTATGAATGCGTTTTTATTGTCTTTTTGCTGTGCTTCAGTAATATTTTATGCTGTCTGGTGTCCGCACAGAATAATTAGTCCTAAAGGCATTCGAAATTCTTTATAAATGTTTGAAATTCTTTAAGCAAGTAAAAGGGTTGATACATGCAGATCGGACTCGCTCTGAAACAAGTTTTTGAGGAGGGTATTGTCAAGCGAGAAGACTTGTTCATCACCTCAAAATTATGGTTGGTTGGTTCATCTCGATCTTGCATTTAAGGCCTGTTTTTTAGAAATATTTTTTTGTTAGTTGCGCTGGTGATATGCTTGCAGGTGCAGTGATCATGCACCTGAAGATGTGCCTGAGGCATTGGAAATAAGTTTGAAGGACCTGCAACTTAATTACGTTGATCTGTACCTTGTATGTTTCTCAACTATTTTCAATATGTCTACCAATTCTAAAGCTATTATCAATCCCATAAAATTATTTTGTAGCTGGCATAAATATAATTCTTTTGAGTAAATTTGAAGCAAGCTTCTAATTTTTTTTCCATAGAAATAATTATTTTTCTTCTGCTTCGTGATTTGCGATGATTTTGTACAATAAGAAGTATTCCAAGATAAACTTACCTTGGTTAGGTCCAATCAAGTTCCTCAGCCAAACTAAGATACCAATCAAGCTCAACCATGGCTAATAAGACAATTGGGTTAGGTTTAGTTTAAGTTTAAGGCTTCGTTTGGAACAGCTTTCTCACTTATTCTTAAACAGTTTTTTAGTATAAAAATTTTAATTTCGTTCTAAAAATTTTCTTTAAGAAGTAATGAGAATACCGTCGGAGACGAAACCTAAAATTAAGCAAAATCTTTACTCAAATTTCACAAACATTAGATCAGTTGAGTCCATCTTGATATTTTTTTCCATATGGATCAAGGGTAGAACCAAGCCTCAAAATTATGGGTGTCAATTTTTTACACGACCCGAAACCCGATCCAGGAAAATCCTGATTCGGGTTGACCCGATTAGCAAATTGATTGGGTTGGGTTTGAATTTTTGACCCGTTTCAAAAAACAGGTTGGCGTCACGTTAATCCAAAAACTCGAAATCAACCCGACAATGACCCGAAAGTTGGAGTCCATTCCGGATTTCCACCTGCATTCGTAGACTACTCCTCCCGTTGCCCGCACTCGCGACTTGCCGACCTCCTTCCACTTGCACTTGCAGACTCTGCCCACTGTCGCTGTGTTGCCGCCGTTGAATAGGAACTGGAATTAGCAACTGGAGCTCAGCTCGCGCTTCTTGAACCAAATCTCCTAAATTCGGATCGGGTCAAGTCTGAGTTGAAATATCCAACCCATTTGCACAAACAGGTCGGATTCTAGTTGACCCATTTAGATCCGGGTCAACTCGGATTCGACCTGTCGACCCGAATTGACACCCCTGCTCAAAATACAGAATTCATGAGATGTCTTTAATATAAGTTGTTTCGTCTCATGATTGCATTAAATCCTAGCAGTTTATCGTATCCAGCTACTTATCAAGAATCACTAACATCGTTTGAGATAAATTGTGAAATCAAATGCTCCTCTTCTTGACTTATGATGTGCAGATTCATTGGCCTTTTCGTGTTAAGAAAGGGGCAAGCTTTAGTCCACAAAACTATATTACACCTGACATACCTGCAACATGGGGAGCCCTAGAAAAGCTCTATGATACAGGGAAAGCCCGAGCCATTGGTGTGAGCAATTTTTCTTCCAAGAAACTCGAAGATTTGCTTGCTGTAGCCCGTGTGCCCCCGGCTGTAAATCAAGTGGAGTGTCATCCTGGATGGCAACAGCCCAGGCTACACCAAGTTTGTCAATCCAAGGGTATCCATCTCTCTGTAAGTTTTTGCATACCATCTTTTTTTGTGTTTAATATTCAAAACTTATATATTTATATGATTAAAACTAACTTTCTCCTTTTCCAATAATACCATTTAAATCTCAAAGTGCACAGAAACATCTCAATCAGTATTTTTTCATCTAAGGCTTAGGTTCCGTTTAATTTTTATACTAAAAAGCTGCTTTAAGAAGCAATAAGAAAGCCGTCCCAAACAAAGCCTTAGTTTTGGGATGACTTTCTTACTTATATTTAAAACAATGCGAGGGTCGGCACTCATGCCTTCAGCCGTTATGATGAAGCCCAGGAAGGATACAGTAGTAGTAGCAAAATCACATTTAGCCATGTTTAGAAACAACTTATGCTGCCTCAGGTTTGTCAATACTCCTTCCAAGTGAACTAGGTGGTCTTCTAGAGTGCGGCTATAAATCAATATGTCATCGAAGTAGGCCACGCAGCAGTACTTCAAAAAGGGCTGTAATACTTCGTTAATCAACCTCATAAAAGTGGCCGGGGCGTTGCACAAACCAAATGGCATCACTTTCCACTCGTATAGCCCTTCTCGCGTTTTAAACGCTGTTTTCCACTCGTCGCCGGGTCGTAGTCGGATCTGGTGATATCCGCTACGTAGATCGATTTTAGAGAATAATGTCGCACCCGCCAATTTTTCTATCATTTCTTCCATTCGGGGCATTGGAAAACGAAACTTCACCGTAATTTTATTAATTGCTCTACTGTCAACACACATCCGCCAGGTCCCATCTTTCTTGGGGACTAAAAGAGCAGGCACCGCGCATGGGCTCAAACTGTGTTGTATCAGTTGCTTATCCAACAATTCGTCTACGATTTGCTGCAGTATTAAGTTCTCTCCGGGACTGAGCCGATAGTGTGGTAAATTAGGAAGTGACGCACCTGGTATAAAATCAATTTGATGTTGAATTGATCGTAATGGTGGTAATTCGGCTGGCAAACTATCTGTGCAGATATCTGTGAATTGGCTGAGTAGATCTCGCACGGCAGATGGCCAAGCCTTGCTGCCATTTTCAGGTGTGCATTCCTTAACAATCGGAGCCATCATAGTGGCCGCCTCCCTCCAAGCATTTAATAATGCCTTTGAGGATACAGCGAACAGGGCATTATTCTTCTCTTGTGTTGTAGCTTCGGAATTGGTCTGTTGCGGTACTAAACGCAGTCGGCGACCCTTCCAATCCATAGAGTAAGTATTAGCTCGGCAATCATAAACTGCTCCCATATCGTATTGCCAAGGTCTTCCCAAGATGATGTGGCACACGTCCATGTCAAATACATCACAAAGAACCTCATTGGCATAGTGCTTGCCGATAGAAAAGGAGACTTTACATAGATCGGTCACTGCCATTTCTACTCCTTTTTTGACCCAGCTGATTTTATACGGGTTGGGATTCTTTGTGGTCTTCAATTTTAAAGCTTGCACCACAGCACTTGAAACCACGTTTTCTGTTCAGCCGCTATCAATCAATAGATCACAGACATTTCCCCCGATTGTACATTTGGTCCTGAATAAAGCATTTCGCTGCGATGAACAAGGTTGTCTCGGGGCCACCAATAACTTTTGCATCACACAGATAAGGGGTTCACCAACATCGCCTTCAACATCTTCCAAGTGTTGCTCCTGTCCTTGACTATGCTCGCTACCTTCTTCTTCATCAGCTTCGATCAATTGCAACTGCGGACGTGAAGGGCATTCATTGGACTTATGGCCTACTTGGAAGCATCGGAAGCATTTAATACTTGCATTCTTTGCATATGGGTTATCCTTCACAGTCGTCTTGCCACGTCCAAACGTTCGAGTTTCATTAGTGCGTCCTGATGCATTTGCGGCTCCGGAAACTTCAGCTGGAATTGCGGCAATCTTCCCATTTGGATCAGCACTCCTATGACTACTTATAGTCTGCTCCAGAGCTGGTGTTGTTCTCTTGAACGGATAATTGCGATTGTGGCGGAGTGCTTGCATTTCAACCTTCAATGCATAATTAACAGCTTGCGATAACGACCACACCGAATTCAGCTCCAATTTGTCCTGAATAGAGTCTTTCAGACCACCGATGTATCGAGCTACTAATTGATTGGCCGTCTCGTTCAGATTGTTCCTGGCACTCAAACGATAAAATTCTTCAGTATAATCGTTAACAGAGCGGTTACCTTGGCGGCAATGTTGATATTGTTGGTAAAGCATTTGTTCATAATCAGTCGGGAGATAGTGCCCCCGCAAGAGCTGCTTCATTCTCCTCCAACTCCTCACGGCTCCCCGACCTTCCCTTCTCCTTGATTGCAAAATCTGCTGCCACCAAGCACTGGCTCCGGCCTTAAGCCTACACGCCACGTACCGCACTTGTTTGATTGGCTCAATCTCCATATACTCGAAGAAAGTTTCAACTGACCTCTCCCAATCTAAATAATCTTCTATATGCAACTTTCCATCAAAAAAGGGTATGTCCATCTTAACTCGGAACTCACCGTGCGATCGATTCGTTTCTCTGGGACGCCTCCGCCTAAAATGCTGTATTTCTTCTCCTGAGTCCGAGAGTTCCGAATTTTGAACTCCGTTGATTTCCAAATCCGAATCAGATGACTCCTCCTCCTGGACTTCCCGCTGTCGTCCCCGGTTGATGTCAAGACCTTGCCGAGCTGTCGGAGCATTCCTGTTGAGAGCCAGCCGGTCCAAACGAACAGTAATTGCTCTCAGCTCTTGGCGTATCTCCTCATAGAACCGATTAACCTCCATTTCCAGCTCCTCTGTTCGACGCCCCAACCCTCGGTGCGCCGTCCAAAGAGCCTCTAGGCTGTTGTCACCGCCGGGAGCCACCCGCCTGCTGCTTTCGGCCATCTAGCTCTGATACCAAATACTGATGTAGGATCGCTGTAGATTGCACAAGCAAGACGGAGGAAGCAATAGAACAGTAAAAGCTTGCAAGGAGCGAAGCTTGTTTGTAAATTGATAAGTGTAAAACTGAGCTTCCCTCAGCCAACATTGGCAGATAACGCCATGGCCTAAGGACTAAAACAGCAAAACAAGCAAAAAGTAATAAGAAGTGCTAAGGTATTAAAATAGTACTACTCAGTGCAAGTGGCACCTTCCTCTAACTAACTAAAGCAGTAAAAGGATAAATTGTTCCATAGAACCAGATAAGCATTAAGTAATAATGCTCCGCATCACTCGTTGGCCGATAGGAACATTCCGTTACGTATGATTCACATTCGATGCTCTCAAACTACTCGAAAAAGATATGTATAGGACCTCGAACGGTGTTGTTGCTATTGTCTACCTCTTATAAGTAGTAGTTTTATAACATCAGAGCCCTTGAGAAATATTAAGTGCTGTTTTAAATTTATTAATTATAATATTCTGTTTTGTGGCCTTTTAAAAAATAAATTATGTGCTGTTATGAGTTGGTTCAATATTGTTCACTTGCCTGAGCAGTTGAGCTGGACTATTATAGAAGAGCCTGTTGTGAGCTCGTTAGACAACGGTTATATTCCTTGGTTATCTATTATATAAATAGAGGCTGAGATAACGAAAAAGGAGCGCAGATAAACTTAGGAATCCATGGTTCAAGAAGATATTTTTGGGGTTTGATCTCTGACTTTTTTCTTCTGTAAAGAACTCCCATAAATAGGAATATAGACTGCACTCGACTCAAATACTAATTGAATGAACTCAAATTCACTTTTAAGATGGGATCAAATTTGATTGTTGGGATAGTTTGGATTATTTATTGACACCTCTAGTGAATCATATACTTTTAGGACAAATTTTAAGGGTATTTGTTGCGTCCAGGAGTATTCGCGGCGGTAGAGAAATATAAAGTTTAATGTCTTAGCGTTATACGAAAATCTGGCACGCAATCAGATAAGAGAGAGGGTCTAACATTTATGAGACGCCAAGATTTTTACGTGGAAACCCTTGAAAAGGGGGAAAAACCGCGGGGTCTAGCCCAGTTCGAATGAATCCACTAGTATAGCTATTGATTACAAATGAGACCCTTCATTGGGAGAAGGCCTTAGCTTGATGTACATTTTATAGAGTACATTACATGATGTGAATACAAATAGTCACTATTGACGTGTTCGTTTGGTCGGGAGGACCATAGTCTGGTGACGGAGGTCAGAAGGACTATAGTCTACGGGCGACATAAGCCAGGAGGGCCATAGTCAACTAGTGACAGAGGTCGGAAGGACTGTAGTCGGTGGGCGACGTAAGTCAGAAGGACCGTAGTCAGCGGGCGACGGAGGTCGGAAGGACTATAGTTGGTGGGCGATGTAAGTCAGAAGGACCATAGTCGGCGAGCGACGGAGATCGGAAAGACTGTAGTCGGCGAGCGACGAAAGTCAGGAGGACCGTAGTCGGCGAGCGATGGAGGTCGGAAAGACTGTAGTCGGCGGGCAACGTAAGTCAGAAGGACCGTTGTCGGCTGGCGACGGAGGTCGGAAGGACTATTGTCTGATGACGAAGGTCAGAAGGATGGCATCATGTAGAAGTCCAACAATGAAAATAAATCCATCTTCAGATAAATGTCCAGCAAAAGTTCGATAACCAGTAAAATTACGGCATCGGGTAGAAACTTGACGATGAGTGAAGGTCTGGCGTCGGGTAGAAGTCCGACATTTGTTGGTGGCCGAGGAGAACTCCAGTATCACTTGGGCGGAGTTTTGGCGTTAGGGGGGAACTCTGCCGTTACTTGGGCAGAATTTCAGCGTCCCCTGGAAGTTAGATAGAATTCTGGCATCCCGTGGAAGTCGAGCAGAATTCCGGTGTCTCGTGGAAGTCAGGCAGAATTCCGGCGTCATTTGGAGTTCGAGGGGAACTCCGGCGGTGGTCGAGGAGGAGTCTCTTCCCTCCTATTCTTCTCTTCTCCTCTTCTTCTTGCTTGGATCTTGGATCCCCTCTCAAGGGAAATGAAGGTTCTATTTATAAATATTTTTTAGTGGCAAGGTCTGTAAATAGGAGGATCAAGGACAAATGTGGAGTGGTTCGATCGACGGCCGATATTGAATCCCTTGATTGTGAACCGTTTGTTAGACATTTAAAGGTCTTAATGATATCAGAATTTGGCAATCTTGGGCTCGTTGGATTCGTCTCGTCGAGCCGCTCGATTCGACTATAAGCTCGTCATGTTTGGATATCGTTTGGTAACTCAAATTGTGATTCGAACCTTCTGAATGTGCTTCAGGTAGTCGATTCGGACCCATTTGGGCTTGGATTAAGTCAAATTTGGTGTCGTTGGGTTCGTATTTTCGAGACGCTCAGTTTAACTGTAAGTTTACTGAAATTGGAATTCAAGTGATCCTGGATTTAATTTTTGAAGCTTCCGGCTTGATTTTGCCTCTAGATTCGTGCCCGATCAAGATAATTTTTGCATGATATATCAGTATTCAAACTTCTTTTTTAATAACTTCTAGTTGAGATAAATATTTCAATTAGATAAATTTAATGATATAAAAATTCTTTAATTGAAATCCAAATCAACCTAATTCAAGCATTTGATATGTTGTTGAAAATTTCAAGATAATGTTTGAAGGACCAAATGATAATTGAATTGTACCTATTTATATTCAAAATGGACATTTCGATAAAAGAAATCTAACGAGCTCAAGATCATTCATTTTTAATTTCATTAAGACATTTAAATACCTAAGAAGTGATATAGGATCAACATAATCAACAAAGTTGTTCAATAGAATGTTTGGATATTTTGGTCAAATTAATCAAAATGCCACATAAAAAAAAAACTTCAAATATATCCTTATTTTTCATATAAAATGTGTTTGAAATTAGATAGCTTAGATAACAAAAGAATCCTACAACTCTGCTCGTCCATCTATATTGACAATCATTGTTGGCAACCTTGGTTGTATGTCCGTCATCGCCCAATTGCCAACGCCTAATTGGTATCATTAGACCATCATCAAATTGATATTCTTTATTGGTTATTGATCCAATACCAATATTTGTCGTCTCTCACTTCTTCTAAAGTATTTTCCTATAGAAGTAGGGCTGCAAGCGAATCAAACATTCGACGAACTACTCGTTGTTCGGTTCGATTAAAGCTAGTTTGTGATCGTTTAATTAGCTAAATAAACAAACTTGAACAATATTATAAATACTCGATTCTTAAATAAACAAACTTGAACACTAATGCGTTCGGCTCATTTATGTTCGTGAACAACATCATTTGAAGTTCGTGAACAAGCTCGATAAGAAGCT